GAAGAATAGATGACAACATGGACAGAGCATGATCGTCACAACGGCTGTTCCTTAACCCTTAAATTGCGATAAGGAAGAGAATGGCGTAGAGGAGCCGCGCCAACAGTCGCCGACAGTCGTTTTTTTCCCCACGGCAGGGAAGCCCTCGTACCGCGCTTGATTTGTCGATCTGGCCCAACCAACCGTGCACATAACCCCACGCAATGGAATTCAACGTCCCCACCCCCCACGATTGGCCAGCGGTGATCGGTCCTGTGGGAACAATGCTCCCGTCCTTTGGAGGACGCGTTGTCAAAGGTTTAACCGCCAAGGCATAAAACTTGGGTTTCCCCCCCCCCCCTGCACAAATAGATGCGGCGGTAGGATACACCCGAAAATGAAGACTGTCGGCGAACGTAGGAAAATGCGCAGTAGTGGTCTGTAACGAAGACAAGAAAAATCCCGTAGAATTCAAATGGAAATGGGGGGAGGAAGAACTACCGGTAGTAGACAAGTATACGTACCTGGGGAGTAGAGATTTCGAAGGAGTGCTCATGGGACGCACACATAGCGAAGTTGATTGGGAAGGGTAAAGCTCAGATAGGCAAGATGGATGAGATCCTTACGGACCCACACCTAGACACTAGGATTAAGAGGTGTATTCTCTTGAAGGTGATTGTACCTAAGCTAGAGTATGCAGGAGAGATATGGGAAGGTAACGAAAAGGCCGTCAAGCAGCTGGAAACGGTGCAGATGGCAGCGGCCAAGAAAATACTAGGATGTTCAAGCACAACGAGCAACACTGTATTGAGAGCAGAATTGGGAATGTACTCTCTTAAAACAAAGAGAGACATGCAGAAGTTGAAGTGGCAGTACAAGGTAAGTAGAATGTCGGACGATAGACTACCAGCCATGGTTGACGAGGCAGCTTGGGGAAAAGCGACTCCAGGGAAGAAGGGAATCAGATGGGACAAGGTGGTAGAGAAGGTTTGGAAGGAGATAGGAGACGAGGAGGAGACGTTGGACACGGAAGGGTTCGGGGGGTTCAAGACGAAAGTCAAGGAGATGCTAGAGAGTAGGGAGGAGACAACCCTTCGCAAGAAGGTACGAAGCGAAGACCACTTGGAGATATACGGGAAGTTGAAAGAAGGGATAGGGATGAAGAAGTACTTGGACGGCCCCATGGACTATGCGAAAAAGCTGAAATTGCAATTTCGAGTAGGCGATCTGGACTTGCCAGAACGGAGGAAGAGGTATACCAGCCGTAGGAGAGAGGAAGAGGAGGATAGACACACATGTCCATGTGGCAAATCGGAGGAGAGTAGACCCCACATAGTTGGGGAGTGTGAGTTGTACAGGAAGGAAAGAGAGGATCTCGAGGAGGAAATGAGACAGAGAGGGTGTGACATGGACAAGTTTGGTAAATTAGACAACAGCGAAAAAACGATCGCGATAATTGGGGATAGATGGTGGGCACAAGAGGCCCTAGAGGACGGGGATAAGATGTGCAAGAAATTTTTATGGAGTTTGTGGCAGAAACGTAAAGAGCTCCCAAATGTTGGTGGTGTCTCTAGTAGGTGTAGGAACGGTGCTCCGTCTCGAAAGGGACGCGTGGTCAATGGTCAAATGACTACGGCAAGCAACAAATGAGTACGCCCCCCCCCTCCACCACCAAAAAATATATATAGGTCCCCCACCCCCCCTCAATCTCTTTATTCCTCGCCGTCGTACCCCCTTTTTTCTTTGTTCTTCTCAGGTCTTCAGGATCGACCCCGCCGCCGCCGCCGGCGGCTACTTGGGCTGCTTCGCGGACGTGGAGGAACCCCGCGTGTTTCCGGAGAGCGGGAAGACGGGGTCGAACGCCATGACCACGGCGGTGAGCGGAGTTAGTTGTCAATGTTACGAGGTTCGTAGGAAATGTACAATCAACGGAAAGACTATTTGTTACCCGTTCGAGGCACAGCGTCGTGTGTCGGAGACCGGGAAGATGGGTGGGTTCGACCGCCTTGGCCACAGCTGTAAGAGCAGCAGAGGCGTGTGTCAATGAACATATAATGTACTTAAGGTTCCGCGTGTTTCCTCTTTTTCTTTTTGGACATTTTTGTTATTTCCAGGTTTGGAGACTGGTTTGTATCAGTGATCGACGAAACGGCTGTTGTAGCTTGATGTATGTGGGTTTGCTTCCATGGAGGCTTGCTTTTACCAAGCCGCCGTTTTTTCTTGTAGCATGGGACAGACACGCTTCTGACGTTGCGTCAACCCCGCGTTCCGGCGCCTTCCGCGACATGTACCCGCCTGCCGTCTCCACCCACCCTTATTCCATCAATCGCCGTCGCCGCGGCGGGGGATACATGCGCGAATAGACGTGCGCTGGGCTGTGCTCCGACTACGCCTACTACGCCACTCAGTACGGGAGAGAGGTGAGGTGGGCATTTTTACATATTTTCCGCGAAAAGCGGCGTTGTTTCGTTTGTGGAGATCTCGCCGTTTGTTTGGCCGGCGTCCCGAAGTGTCCGGTGTTCCACAATTGAGACGACGAACTCGTGGGGCGGAAAATCTTGGAGGGAGTTGCTAGTTTTGTGTATGTCGTTGTTGTTGTTGTTGTGGTTGTCTTCACGTTAAAACCGTTCCGGTCTCCGCTCAGCACCTCGGTGTTTGCTACTGCAAGCCCGTGCTTTACTGGTCCAACTCACCCGGACCCACATACTAGCCAACGACCCAAGAAAGGGTACACCTTTCTTGAGCGAAAACAATGACAACATAGCATCCGCGTTTAGTTTGTTTGGCGGTCTCTCCGAAGCGGTGCAGTTTCACCACAGCTGGCGCACCAGCCATTATGTCACGCACGTGCGCTCGTTCCTGACATAATCATTTCTCTACCGTTCGTTGCCCTTGGAATGTATGGATGCCGTCAGTGCTGGTGCGGCAATAACGCCGCCTACAACATCAACGGCCCCGGTGTCTGCGACTTCCCTTGCGCTGGCGACGCGTCCGAAACCTGCGGAGGGAACTTCGCCATGTCGGTGCGTACGTCGGTTGCCGTGCCTCTTTACCTCCCCGCGTTGTTCGTTTCAGTGCTGGAGTTGCTGTAAGAGACGGAGAAGATGACGACTCTCAAAGCTCGATTTGCTCCACAGCGAAAAAGATTGTCTGTACCGTATACCGTATACCGTACCGTCGTATTCCGTAAGAGACGCAGAGATGACGACTCTCACAGCTCGATTTGCTCCACAGCGAAAACGATTGTCTGTACCGTGGTATTCCGTAAGAGACGGAGAAGATGGCGCGCCGTCAGGCCGAAATGCCCAAGCCCGATTTACTCCGCAACCAACCGGGTGCGGAAAGATCCCGATCCCTCAAAAGGAAAGCCCTCGACGAGATGTTTCCAAACCCACCACTTCTGGGTATTGGCGCAAACGCTTGGTCGTGGTTGTGGAGCTATCGAGCGCCGGAAAATCGGTTCATTACAGGGGTGCCATTTCTGCGCCTCTCAAGGCAGATCGGACGGTTGCTCGATGCTTATTTATACTCGTGTTCCCGCGTCTGGAGGGCTGTTGTTTTCCCGCTCACGACCTCGGGTTTCCGGCAAACAACGAGGCCACGTTTCGACCCTGACACCAACAAACCCCAGCTCTTTATTCTGTCTGCTCGACGAAGGATCTTTGCCTTTTCTAGTGTTTTAGTGCTGGTTCTTGAGCCCCACGACGTTGCCGGCTGCTGCTGCTGCTGCTGCTGCTGCTGCAGGTGTACTCGACCGGGTACCTCGGTTGCTTCGCCGACTCGCAAACCGGCCGTGTCTTCTCCGTCGTCACCGGGTCCAGCAGCATGACCACAGCGGTAAGCGGCATGAAAAGGAAGCGACGAAGGAAGGGTGTTTGTGCCCTTGCTCTTGTGGTCCCTCGCGGTACGGGAGGTTTCACGGCCGTTAATATCGCAACACCGACTCTTTCGTCTGCTTTCTTCGATGTATTTCTTTTTTGGTTTCCTTAAAAGAACGCAATGCATCCATCTCTACCAATAGAGAAGGGCCTACAGATTGTTAGTGATGAATTAATTCATCGCGTTAGCGGAGAGCACTGCTACCTGTCTCTCTACGCTTCCTCGAGCAGCATACCGGGACAGGAACAGGCTCTACAATATATACTTTTCTTTTTGTTCCCCGCGCTGTTCATTTCCGGCCGTCGCTATTGTCGACCTTCGGTCGTTGTTGCTGGTGTTGGCGTTGGCGTTGTTGCACCGCCTCCCCTTCATGAACAAATCCCTGGGGGACACGTTGTCCAAACCTGGCCGCTGTGTCTCCCTGCCTCGACATTGTAACCGTCCCCGTCCCTCCCACCGATCCTCGACATGATCTCCCGTAATCTCTCCGGTGTTTGCTGCTGCTGCTTCTGCTGCTGCCGCTTTTTTCGGCTCCCGCAAACGGTGGTATCATACGGCGACAGATCTGTGCCGACACTTGCGCTGACTATGCCTACTACGGCACGCAGTACGGCAGGGAGGTGATTTGAGACTTGGAGAGCGTGAGCCTTGCGTGTGCATGAATGCCCTTCTTGTCGACTCCCTGGACAATATTTTGGGTCCTCAATACTGAAAATGAAAAATACCCAAAACAAATATCAGCAACACACATACTTTGTCTCGTAACAGCAGTTGGTATTGGTATCAGAGAAGCAATGATGCACGCGCGCCCACGGGTTGGAGTTAACGGCACACGTTTTGCGAGCGCTGGTTTAAAGCGAGGACAACAACAAAACATGTTGCACGCACGTGTCGTTGGGGCTGGAACCAAGAGTAATCCGATTCAGATGATGTGGACGAGGGCGATGACAATCGTGCGCGACTTTGCCGCTGTGTAAGTCGAGGTGGAAGCGACAGCTCGGAGGACGATGGGCCTCTTTCACCCGGTTGCCTAACGAAGCTTTCGCCTCGGGCGACCGTGCTGATGGTAAACAAAGAAGAGGTTTTCGATTATTATTTTTGAGGTGGTGTTTCGTCTTCATGATGATGTGGGGCGTTAATTGTTCTGGTTTGCCTGTGACCACGGGAATCGACCTCGTCAAGTATTAGATCCGTGCAGACAGACAGAGGGATGTACAAGTACTGGACAGAGAGATTGGAAAGTTTTTTTTTCTGTGAAGACAACGACAACAAACGGCATTGCTTCCCCGTTGAATACAGTTCTTGGCACCACAATACGCCTTGTTAGTAAAGACCACGGTTACCTCTCTTCATGCCAACAAGGAGTCCAGCGCGTCCAACGGCATGACCACTGCGGTAAAAGAAGGGAGTGGACATGCTGGGCCGGCCCCCGCGGCGGCGCGCGTTTTTCACGGCCGTTGATAACCTAATGCTGTGTGGCGTCGACTCGTTGTTTCTTGCTTGCGCTGTGTCGTACCATTGATCCTGTATTTGTTTTGTTTCTTCGTCTTGCAAAACACAACAACTACATAAAGAATCCGGATAGATAGATTCCCGAAGGAATCATTGTGGTGTATGATGCCCAACTTGTATTTCTATTGCTTTAACCTATTTTACTAGCAGTTTTAGTGTTGCGCTGTTCCGTGCCGGCCGTCTCGCGACGACAACCAATCGTTCGGGGTCACCCCTCCACGACCAACAACGCATTGCGTCCCCAAAACTGAACATCGAAAAAAAATGAAGTACTCAAAAACAATACATACAGACCAGGTTTCTACTTAAACTATTGGTGAAATTCAGAGCGAGCTAATAAAAATCAAGCCTTTGATTTCTGGGGACGACCCCCGGCGGGCAAGTTTGTCCGTTGCTTGACGCGTTGGTGTCGCCGTTGCGCCACCACTCCGCGAACCCTCGCGGGCGAAAGCAAGAATCGGCCGATACTTTGTCCGTTGTTTGCGGCGTCGCTCCATGCCGACTATAGTAGCACCTCAGTCCCCTCCCACCACCCCGCTCTTCCTCCCCGAAGCTGCTGCGTGCGGCGTTATCGTATCCCACGACACGATAACAACCGAACGGCTCGCTGTTTCCGGCAACACGACTCACGACAAAACAGGAGTGCGCGTCTACTTGCTCTGCTTTCGCCTACTACGGCACGCAGTACGGGGGAGAGGTGAGTTGAGGCTTGAAGAAAGCGAGAGCCGTTGTGTGCTTGTTCGTATTGTATATTAAAATGATGTCTCTTTGCCTTGTGGACAATCATCAACGGTCACGCGTGTGGTGTCGAGAGGTGAGTTGAGACTTTATCATCGAAAGTCGTTGTTGTGCAACAGTAACAAGTTCGTCGTCTGGTCTTTCTCCATGTGGAGAGCCAGCGGTGGGGGTTGACCGAGACCTTTACGCTTAGAAGCGATAGCCTTTGTGTGAAGCAAGCTTTATCTAGTGTCTTTGGCCTTGCGGAGAATTATCAACGGTCACGCGTGTGGTGTTGAGAGGTGAGCTGAGAGACTTAAAACCGAGAGACTTGAAACCGAGAGCCGTTGCTGTGTGCATGTTCTCCGTCTGGTCTTGTGTCCGTGTGGACAGTTATCAACGGTCATGCATGTGGTGTTATCAACGGTCATGTCATGCGTGTTATGCATGTGGTGTTATCAACGGTCATGCATGTGGTGTTATCAACGGTCATGTCATGCGTGTTATGCCGACGAGGCCGGAACGAGCGTGCCGGCGATTTCTGTGTGTGTATACCCTGAGGGCGATGGTCGCGGAAATGATGTTCGTCGAGTCGTGGACAAAATGGTACGCGCAAGAAGGGCTTGTGTTCTGATACCCCTTAGGAAATGACCATGACTCGGCCGACTATCATTTGTCCCGGTCCGCATCATTGTGGGGAACAACTGTTCTCGTTCGCTTGTTCTTTTTTTTCCGCGCGGTTGGCGCGGTTGACATTTGTGCATCTCACAACGAGTCCCCCTGTTCCGATGCGGCTGGTTTTCCGTTGATGGCACACTCCTCACGAAGAGAACAAAATATGAAAAGCCTTCCGGCTCGTGCGCGGACGCAATAAACGAATACACGCATAGCGTGAAAAGAGACAAGGATGCTTGCTGCATTCAGCAGGCGGAGAGCATGTTCTGTTATTGTGCGTGAAGGTTGTTTTCCGTTGATGGCACACACCTCACGAAGAGCACCCAGTCTTTCCCCCGTGCGCGGACGTGAACATAAACATGCAAGAGGTACGGTTGCTCCATGTACGTGGCGACGAGAGTAATCGGGACGTTACATGTGCGCTCGTTGCTGACACGCAATGCCCCCCTATCGGACGCCCTTTGAATGAATGTCGCCAGTGCTGGTGCGGCAACAACGCCGACTACGCCGTCTACGGAGAAGCAACGTGCGATATGGCGTGCACTGGTGACGCTGCGGACATATGCGGAGGCATCAACGCCATGTCGGTACGTCGGTTTGCTGTTGTGCTGCCTCTTGTGTTTGCTCTCAGATCTGGTTGATCCATACATGCGTGCTGTGCATGTTTTGATTCTTGACTCGCAACAGCGAAACCTGCGATGGCTTTTACGCCATGACGACGGTGAGACGGGTGTGCAGAGCACTCTGTCACACACCGCCCCACCCCCCCCCCTCTCCTCGTGTTGTTGATGATCGCTGTTGCATTTTTGTGTCCCTGTCCACGATCTCAACTCTCCCCCATTCCCTCCAACAACGGCTTCGCCAGGTCTACGGCACTGCCTAGTATCGTCAAGAACTGCTTGTGGTTGACGAAGGAACCGAGAGAACGGCAAGCCGCGGCCCAGTAGGCGGTGGCGGCCCCGCACCAACCTCTTGGCTTTGCTTGGTTCATGTTGGACGGGCGCCTCCTTTGACTCTCGATAGAATGGGTGGCGATGGCTTGGCTTGCTTGGCTTTGCCTTGGCCTATGTTGGACGGACGCGCTCCTGATGCTCCCGATAGAATGAATGAACTGGTTCGACCCCGGCTGCTAGCTTCATGTTGGACGGCCGCGCCTCTCCCTCTCTCGGTACCCTGACTCACCTTGTTCGGTCCCGCGTAGCGTCTACTCCATAGCCCGTCTTCAGTTCGTTCACGTACAATACTCGGCCGGTTTGTTTCTGTTTAGCAAGTGTAAGAACTACAATATGGTTGGGGGTAAGGGGGTGGGCAGGAAAGGGAGGTTTGTTAAGGGATGTGCGACTTTAGAACCAAAAAATGTAGCAGAGGTTTCGAGTCTTCGACCCCCCGCGGCCCCTCTCCTTTGCCAGCCAGCCGCCTTGTTGTGGCGTCCGAAACGCTTTCTTCGACGCTGTGCGGTTTTCGGGCTTGGATCGAACGACCGATGTCCCCTTAAGGAAAAGGGGGTATATGGTGATTGACAGTTTTCGCATCCCCCGCCCAGGCGCACCTGGTTCGGTGACAACCCGGCGTGCTCCGTCCCGGCGTTGTAGGGATGCTAGGTCAATGGTCTAACGACCACGGCATGCGCGACTGCGGGTACAACCCACCAGGCGCACTTAGGCTACAGGCAAAACGTTTTAGAGCCACCTTTGGCGAAGCAGGAAGGAACGATCGGCCATCGACGATCGGCATTTGTGTGCGCAGCCGCAAGTACCTATTAGTTGGTTGGAAACAATTACTTTCACTTGTTGTCCTTTGCACCCTGGTGAGTTGCCTGGGTTGGTTGCTGTTTTCGCTGTCCCCTGCGGGCTGGTTGATGATTTGCTGAGCGCGCGGGGTGGTCCCAAAGGATAATACATTAATACAATATACGGAGTATATATTTTTGGGGTATATTTGTGGCTGTATCGAAGTGTGGCGCAAGCCTCCTGTGCCTGTTGTGTTTTGCGAGAGAGAGAGAGAGAGAGAGAGAGAGAGAGCGTGCTTCCCACTCTCATCACGCAGCGTTGGAGCAACCACCTTCGTGTAGCGCACCTATTACGTCGGGCAGGGGGAGTAATTCGCTGCACCACATTACAAACAGGGGCTGGCGGCAGGCAGGCTTTCTTGGGGGCATGATTATTAGCGCCGCAATAGTGTAGTATAATAATAATAGTTTATTGCTTTGTAGAAGTATTGTTTTGACATTGCTACCAGCGTTGTGGCGTTGTGCCGAGTGAGGTGTTGGTGCTCAACGACGTGCCTGTGAGGGAAGTCGTCGACCTGAAGTGTGAGAAAAACGATGGCATGTACGGATACGGTCCATCTTCCGACATCACGCCCGAACGTGTTGGATGCCCGCGATATTGTTCTTTTTGTTTCGTTACATTGTATTTCGTTTACTGGGCGCAGAACTGTGTGACTGCCTTTTGCTGCCTTCCAGCAGGCAGGCCATCGGCGGCCACGGATGTACATGGGATGCAAGGTTTGTTCCTCATTCTGGTGCTGGGCGCAGGACCGACTGGTTGCTGTAGTTCGCGCCCGCACAAAAAAAAAAAACTTGGCAGTTAAGAAATTGAGCCTCGGAAACCTCGCAATCTGTCTATGCATACATGTAAGAACTTGAGCACAATTTTATCGGTGAGCTCGGTCGTTGGCTCGGTTAAGAACCCCTTACACAGATCCCTCAGTGTGACCATTCGCAGCACAACCCTAGGTACGGTACTAAAACACAGCCTCGACCGAAACTAGAGGTTCTTCAGGGTGGGCGCCTGCTACTGTAGTAGGGCAGGAAGGTCATGGCCGGCCACGGGGCACACAGTAGTTGTGTGTGCGATTGAGAAACAAGGACGCCAACTGATACGGTACTTCCTACAGCGCGTACCGTTGATCCCCCGCCACTCTTCTTCTACCTATTGAGCAGTGCGGAAGAGCGCAAATACGGTCGATGTACATACACGTGCTCCTGCCGTTCATTAACACCGCACAGCAGGATGGAAAACACTCGTTCCATGAACGCAGAGGATGGTTGCAGAAGAGCAACATCCAACACCAAGGCGTGCCACGTAGGCAGCCTTTTCTTGTTGTCCTTCCAGAACGCCATGTGGCCGTACTCGATGTCTGTGTCACCTCGCCTCCATGTGGGTGTGTGAGTGTTAAGCTGTCTCCTCCCGGGGGTCGCAAGCAGGGGCACCGTGAAATTAATCGGCGAGAATCGGCGACCTCAACCCATGATTCGGCGCAGCCCCCTCCAAAATCGGCGCTACTTTTGGGTTTTCGGCGATCTATTTTTTTTTCGGCGGGCAGTTTATTTTACGGCGACATATTGCGGAATTCGGTGTTTTCGGCGGTCGCCTACGGGGGAAAAGCCTATATTTTTGCCGTCTACAACTAACTGCGCCGGGCGCACCAAGCCACCCAACAGCCCGAACGGCCAACAGTCATCGCCATGCCGCACTTCTCGAAAAGGCGAAACCGGTACTCCTCGCGGCTGTCAAGAATTTCCATGGCTGCCCCAACCCATTGCGTGATCAGCATACACGCAGCGTGGAACGCACCCAGCACCACGAGCCCCCGCAGAGGGGGGTACACTGTGTGTACATCGGTCACCCTCGGCACGTGCAAGAATATTTCACGGGGTGCCCCTCCCCCCCCCCCCCCCCCCCCCAAACTTAAAATAAATGCTGT